GAAAAGGTTTGGATTAAAGCTTCAGTGCAACATACTCACGTTTTTCTTGCTGCTACATCCAACTCTGCCATTGTTTCATTATTTCAGTTGCAGTTCTCAATGTTTGTTCTCTTTTAGTTTGATTTTCCCCGATGTCTCTGTAGTTCTGACTGGGTTTCCCAAGCCCTTCATCTCTGTAAAGTCAAACTAATCAACGTTAGCAGATGGAGGATGTCTTTGCAGTAAATCCTGTTATGCATCCTCCTCCCCTGACAATACCTTCCACAGCCCCTGCTGACGAGCTTCCAACACTTTCCAGGTTTCTCTTCCTGAGAATTATGCCAAGTTTTATCTCCCCAATTAGTATTAAACTCACAGTATAGAATGAGTTACGATACCTGAGAATGGGCTTGTTCTTGTCACAGCTCCAGCCCAAGAATCTTCAAGACATTTGGGAAATTTAATCACTCAATTCTAAATGTATTTATGGAAAGGAAAGATTTATTGGCTATTTCAATTTACTTGATTAATATTTGATTAATAGGTTGCCCAAGGAAGTTGTGGATGCCCCCTCCCTGGAAGTGTTCAAGGCCAGGTTGGATGAGGCTTTGAGCAACCTGGTCTAGTGGAAGGTGTCCCTGCTGCTGGCAGGGGGGTTGGAACTGGATGAGCTTTAAGGTCCCTTCCAATCCAAACCAGTCTATGATTCTATGAATACAACAATTCAGTTAGTGTGGCTTTATTTTTTGGTTGGTTAGGTTTTTTTTAGAGGTTTTCCCAATATTAAGCAAATAATTTAAAAAATACAGGGAAGGTTTACTGAAAATGAAGTTTTACAAAAGAAACCACAGGAAAATTGCTACTCATCACTTGTAGGAAATAATGTGTCTAAGTATTATAGTCTCACCCAGAAACATCCAAGCATTCATAGGCACATGTATAGATGGTAGCTGGTGTTAAGATTAGAATATTAATTACATCCTCAGTGGTACTAAACTGTAGCCCAGCTGTAAACCTAAAATGTATCTTAAGATTTAGGAATATTTTAAGTAAATCTCCATTAAAAACCCCATGGTTAGTTTTGGACAGCAGAGACAATCCAGTTAAATCTCAAATGCCACGACAGTTTCTATTTCACCAGCTCACACAAAGCCTGGGGCAGCTGCTTTAGCCCTCGAGAGGACAAAACCCCTCACATCGTGTTGGGAACTGCAAAGGTTTGAGAGTCTATAAAATCCCTCACTGCATTCCACTTCAAAAGGAAACACAGCAGTCCTGAATCCTAACCAAAAACTGAATGGAGAATATTTAATACTACAGTAAAATCTTAAATATGAGGAGGTTGTGCTTAAAACTGCACCTAGTTCACCCTCGGCGAGTGAGCTCAGTTGTAACTCTGATTTCAAAAGCGAAATGGCCGATGCCCCGGCAGCGCAGGGAGCTCAGCCCTTCGCAGCTCCAGGTCTCACACGTTTCTATAGACAAAGAGACATATTTACAAAAACACTCACAAATTCTCCCTTTCACCAGGAAAAACGCTAAACCCGTGTTTGCTTCCTTAAAACAAACCCTTGGGAGAAAGAGCAGATGAGAACTAAGCGAGCAATCAGGCATCAATATTTATTAACACAAGACAAAGGAAACACAATCAATGCGTTAATGGAACACTGTCCAGCCAGATGTTAAATTTAAAAATGTATATCTAATCTAATTTTAAATAAATAAAAACTTTATACATAATTACATAATGCTGTAGGTCTGAATTTGACAGTGGTAAATAGGTTGACAGAAATGAAAGAAAAATTGCATTTAGGGCTAAAATTTATCTCGTTTTTACAACCTTATTTTTAGGACAGTTAGTATGACACATCTTAATTACATTTATTTAAATCAGAAATGCAGTGCAAATTTTAACAAAACAGGACTTGAAATTACCTGTGCCCACATCTTTTGCTTCGGGAATATTCATAAACAGTAAGAGATACAAAATATTTTAGTTCAAAGTGTTAAGAATTCCTAGTTTTTAAGTTTCACTGCAGCTGTTAGCTTGGAATCTGATGGACAACAGTAGGAAGTAATTTGGCTTCTGCAACTGGAGAAGCTGCAAAGTCAAACTGGTGTGGAGAGAGTCAGCTTCTTGGGACTCATCACTTGGTTCAGGAGTTAAGGAAAAGGATCCAGCTCTGATTCTGAACACGCAGCAGCAGTGGCCCTGCCAATTTTCTGGAGTTAAGTATCTCGGTTCGTTCTCGTTATGGAATGATAACCAAACGGTCCCATCTTTTGACAGCCCTCCCACGACAACCAAATAATCATCTCTCAGTTTGGAAGAACAAACTGACCCCAACCTCAAAGAGGCTAGCAATGAAAAATACTTAGCACGTAGTGCCATACAGTTAGTTACCTCACAGGGATGTTGTAAGGATTAGATCATATCCTCATCTACAGATGAAGAAACTGAAGGAGTGAAACGACCTGTGGAAGGTCTTGTGGCAATTCACTAGCAGAGCTGGAGTTAAGAAATTGAAGTGTTTCCAGATTCCCAGCTCCATACTTCCTCCTCTCCAGGACATTGTTTTTCACTGTGCCAAACATGGACAAAAGCATTCAATAAAGTCAGAACTGGCCAGCTGCTCTATGTCACTTCCTGGCGATGGAGAATGGAATGTTATCTCATCCTATGGGCAGGACTGTAAACTTACAGTTCTCCAACACAGAGAAATGTAACATGCCAGAAGAACGATTCAGAGTACACAGTAAACTTGCAAGATAAAAACCCCAAACTGTAAGAAGTTATCAAGTAAAAGCTAGCCAAATAAAAACCAAGAGGAAAAGAAAAATAATCAAAAATAATCCAGTATGTCATTCAAAAAATGCCATTTCAGAAAATCAATCTGCCCCAATCTGGGAATCTTTGATCAAATCAATATGTGCATTTTTTTTTTTTTATTTCTGAAAAACCACGAGTAAAAAGAAAAGATAATCCTAGAATTGTACTTAAAATCCACTTCAATGGGCAAACAGAATATTTGTGGAAACTATTTACCTAAAGCTTTCACTGGGATAAGAAAAAGGTCAAGACCATCAGATTTTTTTCTGCAATGTGAAGCTGTACTGCAAGTCACTTCTCTGCACAAGAAAACATAAAAAAATAGTGATGCCTAAACGTGTGATAACGAGACTTTGCTGGCTGAAAAGGGAGAACCATTTTTGTCCCCTTTACGCCCTTAGCGAGCGGCGGTACCAGCTGCGCCGGTCACAGTTCTACCCATCACCTCCCTCACTTCGTGGCCAATTGGATAAAACTAAATATATGAAAAACCTGATGCACAGGTATTTTAGGATGCACCTTCAGAAACCAGACAGCATCTGGTTTCTACTGCCAACAGAACCACCTTTCACACCCAGGCAGCAGCACAAAGCCGTGACCATCGCGTCTGCGGCGCTGTCGTACCACCGCGGCACCGGCGGAAAAATAAACTGTTCAAAAATACCCACCTGTAAACTGAAGTGTTTGCAAATCTAGAACTTGCCATAAAAACTTCCAGTTTCTAAATCTATCCCCCCACCAATTATTTTTTTTTTCAAAAATAACATTAAGGAATGTCTTATTTAAATTTTAATATTCTTTTCTTCAGTGAAGAACTAACAGAACTCATCAGTTTTTTTTTCCCCAAGGACAAAACTTGGGAGTTTGCTTACAGATCCACTGGGTTCTGCTCTGGTAACTGCCACAGGATCTTCAGAGTTCATATTAGAAACCTTTTAAAAATGGCCTATAAACTTTGAATGAGGTAATCTGGAACATTTTAATAAGTTTATTTACACTGTATACCACGTTTGACTCAAAAAAACCTGTTGCAGTATCTGGTATCAGCTCTCATTGCTTCCAAAAAATCGTATTTTCATAACACCCACAGGAATTTAATTGTTCTAAAAAGATTCTTAAGTATTAGATGAAAGAAAGGTAATTTTGAGTCAAAGCTTAAACACCGTCTCTCCCTCAGGCCGGTGTTCAACTGCTTCCTACCAGCGAGAGCTTACACCCGCTGCTCTAAGGCTTCTGTGTCTTTACATTTACTAATGTGAAAACTGACAGAGTATTCTGAAAGCTGGGATATTCATTTTCACAAAGTTATTTAACGATGTGTTTATACCAGAATTGCTCTGTCTCATTTTTGTGCCTCCTCCTGGAAAAGAAAAACTGCATTGAATTTACAGGCCAGAATTATCTGATTCTTTCTAATGAATGCTTTGAAGGAAAACTGGGTTGTTGCCTCCCAGTTTTTTCCATTATTTACAAGATTTCTTGCTCTACCAAGATGGAACTGAACAGAATAATGACAGAATTGCACAAACAGTGAATTTAACTCTGATAATAATCTAAAGATTATCTTTTTTTTCCCCTTTAAACACGAGGTGCCACAGAGGGAGGAGGCAGAGGCTGCCACTCAGGTGCATCACTTCAGTTGAGCATTTTGGACTTGCACAGCAATTGCTACCAAATTCCACGTTCCTGTTTAAATTCAGCCTCTTTTAGAAAGTCGTGCCTTACAATCATTGGTTTCCACATGCTGTGACACACTTCTGGCCAGCAATAAAAGACCTGATACTGAAATAAGAAAACTTGTGAAAGGTGTGTGTATCTCACATGAGTTGTCTGACCCAATGTAAGTATGCTAAGGACCACACAAAAGTGAGTTGTCCTTAAAAATTTCTACCTTCAGCTGTCATCATTATCCAAGTTAATTTTATATCTAAGCGAATTATGTATAATAATATTTACATATTTAAAATATAGGCAAAATTTCTTTTTAAATTCAAGAGATATCTATATGAATAAGTAACTCTTAGATTCCGTAAGTTATTGATTTGGTCATGGCACAATTTTAAATAAGCTGTGTGAACCCATGGAATGAACAGCTACAGTACAGATGCAAAGTACATTATATAGTAGGGAACTGCAGAACTCTGATGACCCTTTTCTTAATAGTTTATTATCTTAACTAAATAAACCCTCCCCTTATAGAATCCTAAACCAGTATTAGATAAAAATACAAATATGTACAACAGATGAAAAAAAAAAAAGTAACACTACTGTAAAGGCCTTAGGAATTTTGTAGCTCACACACTTGTCAACTTTGCATTTTCTATAAAGCTAATATTTCAGTAAACTGTTGTCAATGTTTTCCATTGTCTACCACATTTCCTTTTGTCCGTTGGTAGTTTAATGTGATCTTAAATACCACAGGATGAGATGAAGGGAAATATGGCAGCAATCTCAAACTTTATATCAAGTATTAGTAATATTCACCAGCTTCATTTCTCTAGCCACGCTCTGTCGTTTAGTGGTCCCGCCAAGTTTCTGAACATCACTTCCCCCATGCATGTTACATGTTATAGGCTACATATATGGGGTCTAACTGATCAGCTAGAAAACTGTCACGGAGATGCATTCGTTGTTTCTCTCCTCTGGAATTGATAGGAATAACTCCAGGATCCACTACCACCACCACTCCCACAATTAGGTAATGTTCTTCCAGGACCACATTTGTAACTAGAGGAACTAAATCCAGAGCTTCCTGTTCACAGCCACACAGCTCCACAACAACCACCAGCAAGTTGGTCCATGTGAATACAGCACTACAAGTTAAAAAAAAAGAAACAGAAAACCCAGTTATTTTCAAAAACACAAAGAGCCAAAGTTTACAAGTCTTTACCCTCAGATGGAGTTTACCACCTGCTTTGGGCTGCACTTCCAAGTGACCTAACTCCAAGACCTAGTTCCGATGTGTCAAACATGCCTCAGTACTACCCAGTGTGACATAGGAACTAAATGCTGCTTTCACAGACTCCAATATAAACGGTTCTTTACACCACAGAGCAGGAAATAATCATTTCTATTTTGAATTCAGGCTCGTGAGAAAACATTGAGTCAGTCAGCCCAGTATTATTCTGATCTACAGATGGGAAATGAGGTGCATGACTTGCTGATGGTAACACAAAAAAGTATCTGAATTTGCCTTATGTTATTTTTTTTTTTTCTATTAAATCCTGCATCTTTGCATGAACATTGCTACATTTCAGCTAGGTGAGGATTCATTCATTTTTCACAGCTGTTTTACCATTCAGCAATGCTTCTGTGCGTTCGAGATACAGAAGTCTCAATATCAATTGGATGGTAACGCAGTCCCCTCAGTTCCAAAGTCTCATCCAGTGCTCCAACAACATACAGTGCATCGTGGCGCTCTAGGGAGGAGAGATGGGAAATGAAGTGTATGCATACTATGAAAACACAAAATGGCAGACAATAAATGGAATTTAGATAAAAGAAAGTGTCTCTTGTATCCAGACACATGGATCAGGGCTTAGTTATCATAGAATGGTTTGGGTTGGAAGGGACCTCAAAGCTCATCCAGTCCCAACCCCCCTGCCAGCAGCAGGGACACCTTCCACTAGACCAGGTTGCTCAAAGCCTCATCCAACCTGGCCTTCAACACTTCCAGGGAGGAGCAGCCACAACTTCTCTGGCCAACCTGTTCCAGTGTCTGACCACCCTCACAGTGAAGAACTTCTTCCTAATATCTCATCTAAACCTCCCCTCTTTCAGCTTAAACCCATTTCCCCTTGTTTTGTCATTAGTTGTCCTTAGGAAAAGTCCCTCCCCAGCCTTCCTGGAGCCCCTTCAGGTACTGGGAGGCCACTATAAGATCTCCCCGGAGCCTTCTCTTCTCCAGGCTGAACAGCCCCAACTCTCTCAGCCTGTCCTCACAGCAGAGCTGCTCCAGCCCTCGCATCATCCTGGTGGCCTCCTCTGGACTTGTTCCAGCTGCTCCAGGTCTCTCTTGTGATGGGGGCTCCAGAACTGGATGCAGTATTCCAGGTGGGGCCTTACAAGAGCGGAGCAGAGGGGCAGAATCACCTCCCTCGACCTGCTGTCCACACTTCTCTTGATGCAGCCCAGGATACAGTTATTTGCCTTCTGGGCTGCAAAGTTGCTGCACAGTATGAAATAAAACTCTTCATTTAAAAGGTAAAGACTGATTTCTGCCGTACCTCCGCTGGCAGCCGTGAGTTCTGTCCGACGAACAAAACCAAGGTATCCAGTCCGAGCCCAAAGCGTCTGAGCAGCGTCACCAAAGCTCAGACGAGTGTTGAAATGATCAGCTTGAAGGGTTTCATTGTCATAGATAGTGTAGTAGCCACTGGCTGTGTGTGGACTATTGACCCAAATCTGTACAGAGAGTGGAAAAACCAGTCAGATCCACACACTACAAAACCAGAGCATCTCTTGAATATTGAAACGAAGCAGATAATAAACTGTAACAAGAAGGTTCTCTTTTTATCTAAGCTTTTCTAGATCCAAAAATGCTTTGTGTTTAAGCTCAAACCTCCAAATATCCTGTAGAATCTTAAAAATGCACCTTGCAGATCTGTTCTCCTAATAACTGTAAGCTGAGGATTAACTGAGTAAATAAATTGCGGATTTTTATAACATGTGAAGTCCAAAAATTGATAATTATCTACCAACACAGTTCAAATATACTTGTGTGTAATCAAGATAATGAAAGCAAAATTGTAAATTAGATCATTTGGATGCCAGTTATGCAAGATTTAGAGTGGAATATGCCTTCCTTACTTTTTCTTTCAACTTGACAGTAAGCTAACATACCCAAATTCTGAACACTCCAGCAATAATTCAGTTTAAAAAGGCCTGTGAGCATTACCACTCACAAACTGTCACCCAGCAACTTACATAATCAAACAGAGCGAATATAGCTCAGGGAGCAGACAACAGGAGAAGTTACCCAAATAGCAAAATCTGTGCTTACCTCCCCGAGATGAGAATCTCCAAGAGGCCCTTTTGTCTCAGGATTAACAATGACTACTTTGACTCCAGGTAAAATCTAAAGATCACAAGAAGGAATACGTCATCTGTAGATGAATTATCTTCAGGCACAACTAAAACACAAAGGCTGTACGTTTACCTCTGGAAAGGCACAATTTCACCCATCAGAATTACAAACAGGTATAAAACATGCCAGGACACGTACACTGAAGTACGCTAACGGTGTGAATGAATGGATTTCATGACTGAAGCCACCTTGGTACAGCATTCTAGGCTTGTAAATGTTGCTAGATCTTGATTTTGCAAAATTCAACGTTAAAAAACTACTGGGAAACATCTTTCTGCTAATCCATTTAAAGAAGGGAACAAGAGCTCCAGCAGATGTCAAATGCATGCTGATTTCAGGGATATGACAGCAGACACTTTTGATATTGTTCATTTACTGTAAACAGAATCAATCCTTCTGATTGTTTCACCAAAGCACGCTCCTAAATCAACACATACTTTATTCTAAGTCCAACTTAATCTCTAGAGGAGCAGTGTAACCAGCTATCACCAGTTCTCATGTCATGCCACAAGACTACCTTTGCTAGCTACACATCTACATCGTAAGGGGCATAAAAAGACACGTGGTCATCAGATGATGTGTGTCAGGCCTCTAGGTAACAACAGAAAGTTACCTTCCCAGATTCTGAAAGTAGCAGGCTTTGTGGAGCTCCCCTTTCCACCAGACGTACTCTGAAGGTAAAGAAAACATTGTCAGGGGGAAAAAAGAAAGAAAAAAAAGAAGAAAAAAAAAAAAAAGGAGTTGAAATCTACTGAGAGGTGAGATAGCTCCATACCAATTCAACATTTTATATAGAGTTATTAAATAAGTTTAAGTAAATTTACAGTACCTGTCATGTCTCAAGGATTTCAGATCTACATACACCGTGGTGGGATCAGGTCCAGATGTTCCCTGAAGAGTTAACATTTTAAAAAAATAATTAATGTATTTACAGAAGTCCAGGTAACTTCTGCCTGAGCTCATAAACGTTTCCAGGGGTTTCTTACTGGCAGTAAAATTCACATTCACATTTCCCCACCTTTGCAGCTGCACTAAGGGAAACACTTCACTAAACGGGCTAGTTTTTCTCTACACCAACTCCAGTGTGGGATGCATCTTTGGGGAGGAGGGAGCTGGTATGGAGACAGCCCAGGCACTCTCAGCTATCAGCCCTGGAGCAACTAGTCATTGTTTACAGGGAAATAAACAGTTCTCTAATGTCACGTTTCAGTTGTTTTGAGCATCTGTGCTATAATCTGGCAGCTGAAAACAAGAGAAGCTGCTTAAATCTTGTACCAGCTGTTCTCTACAAAGCAGATGTTGGGCTACCCTACCAATGCAGAAGAGGACACAGATTACAGAGTTTGTGGGTGTAAAAAATAGAACAGAACCTGGAAATCTGCTGCCAGTGGCAACACAGGCAGTAGAAAGCACTTGTGTTACCTGTAAACAGATAGCAACGTTGACTCTTGACCCGAAGGTGGTGCTTACAGCACGAGAGGACAGGCCAATGTCTTTGAAGAGTTTGGAGAAGGAGTGAGTGAGAGAAACTCGTGGCCGTTCCTCTGCAACTACCACACAAGTCCGGACACAGGACAGATTAATTCCTCGTGCCTGGGGAAAAAACACACATGAGTGCAAAGGACTAGATGTGTTAATTACCAATGCCACACTGCACCAAGATCTGTCACCTCACAAGAAGTGACATTTGCTTTTTATCCCTAGAAATTACTCGGGAAATGTAGGACAAACCCTGTGCTTGTGTTAAAGTTATTTTCTCTTTTCAGCTTCTATTTGTAACTATAAAATGTGTCTGACCAGAGCCTAGAAATACTGCTGGAACAAAATATGTATTAACAGTGCTTCTTCCTCAGCTACAGAACGCAGCATGATGTGCTTCTGCAGTGCTTTTCAGCTACAATTCCAGCTGTTATTTATATAGATGGAAACCAAACCAAGTGAGAGTAAAGTCATGTACTGGGATTAGACTGTCTTCAACAAAACTGGGACCAGAAACCATTATTATGTCTAGATATGATCATGAATGGACTGAACAGCACTGATGTGTGCATTATGCTGTTTTAACTGGTGGCACACCCCAAAGCAGACACCTTCAGAACTCTGTGCCACCAGGAGAACAAGACTGATCCTTAATCTCAGAGGTGGAGTATGCTATATCAGTAAATTCCATGCAAAAATCCACCTCAAGCGTTTTCTGTAGCTATTTTTTTTCCCCTTTCCTCTCATCTCATCTCCAAGGAGAAAACACCTCTATTTAGCAAACTGCCTAACATGTGTGCTTTACATCATGTGCTGGTCTGAGCCTTCACTGCAGACTGTTATATAAGCAATTCTTCTGCATAGCATTCTGCTGCTGGCATCCTCTCTTTAGGGTTTGCCCAGCAGTCTCTGACACTCACTGCCAACGTGCTACCTCCACTGCAACACATACACCCCCCCCAATTCCCATCCTTCTAATTTCCTGGGGCTGCAAACATTTTTTTCATTGCCTTTGCTTTCTGAGCAAGCTGTGGACTGGAGACTCATGCAACAGGAAAACTGCTGTATTTAACAATCATATCATTTTGCTTTACTACCACAAGTTGCCTTCATTTATGTAACATAACATTCAGGAAACATTTCTTACCTTTAACATTTCAACTTGGTTTCCAAGTCCCTTTGTGCACAGTTCCATGACTGAATAGGAACAGAAAGTGTCCCTTATTTTATACTGGCTGACAGTAGATAACCAGAGAAAAAGATTGGATTCCAGCTCCATAGGAGGAATTAAAATTGACTGGTGTCCAGAATACACACTGTGAAGAACATTAAGGAAGAAAACATTTTTCTGTAGCATGTAGTTATCTTTAAATTAATATTTCCTGTATTTTCAGGTTACATTCTTGCTAGACCAAAAGCAGGTTGTGGGTTGCTGCATCTGAGGCAAACTGATAATAGTTCCAATGCCCACCTGTAGCAACATCATTTTAAAAATACAACTTACTGTACAGGAATATCAATTTATACACACACAAATGTGTGCATACACTGTCAGAGTGAAGGAAGAGAACTGGCTCAACCACACAGTTTACAGAACGAAAACTCCCTTACTGCAACATATAATCAAGGAAGAAAGGCAAGAGAAACATTCTGGAGCCAGTAATATTTGGCAGCACAAATAGGCATAATCAAGATAGGATAACATCTTGCTAATCTGCAGGAAAAGGGAACATACTATTGTCAGTTCAAAGACAATTTCTCCCCTTACTGTAAGTTAGTCATTTTGGTAATGTCAACATAATCTGTCTGTAATTACACCAGATAAAGATATGCACGGCCATTTCCCACTTATAACCAGCCAATAGAGTTAATATTTTCCTTTTCCCCCCCCTCTCAAAAGTCCTACCTGCAAAGGCACCAGAGCACAAAACCCAGTCCACAATAGGGGTCAAGACAAATTGCGATCTGCCGAGAGGAGTAGAGCTCACACTGCAGCTTGATTGCCCTGCAAAGGCCACTCACCGCCGCATGGGACATCTGCAACAACAGAGAAACTGCTGAAATTCAAGGACATCAAAACAGGACTTCATCAAGACAGGTAGGTAAGAATAAAGATAGGTTTGCCTTGGTAACACTTCTCCATAAACTATGTTTCTTCTTCCTCTATCCTCCATAGCAGAGGCAGAGCATTGCAGAACCCGCTGAGCCATAGTAAACCAGAAGTAGTGATACCAACAGCTATTGCTTAAACTCTTGAGGCATCTCAGGCTCCAAACACAGCTGATCCTTAAGAACAGTGTCAGGCTTTCATTTTTTAGTTTCTTATCCTCTGTCCACTGCGTTCCTATTCTGCTCTTGGTGGGGGAAGACCAGAAGCTCCCAGCTCAGCTACTCGCATGATCACTGCTCTCCTAACAGGCAGCTCTCCAGTGGGAGGCAGCAGCAGAATTCCTGATGCCCACCGTAAAGACCCATCTTCCTACAGTGCAGAATTAATTCTTCAGCACAAAGTCACTCTGCATTTTCTGCTTTGAATCCACAGCTTTACTGGAAGAAAAGTCTTTATTTAAGCTACAAGAGCCAGCACTGATGGAGGTTGAGGGGAAGGGTGGTTCAGAATATCAGCCAAACCGAGACACCAAAACCCCTCCATCTTCTAGAACCATTTTACTGTACCTTTACTCCTGTAAGCATGCCTGTTGTGGAAACACTAAAATCTAGATATGCTAACATTTCAGGTGTAGGTGGCTTATAGATCTGAGACAGCCGCTTCCTGGGCAAGTCATCTGTACAAGAAAGGAACAAACATGGTAATTTTTGATTACTGAATTGGTATTTGAAAGGAGAACACAACTTTCAAAAACCACGAGATGGATGATAAAGCTTCTATTAATTCTTGTTCCAAAAGAGACAGACCAGTATATGACAAGACTCTTGCCAAAGTTCCCATGTAGAAAATTACTTATTCTTGGGAAAAGGGAGAAGACAGCAACTCGCTCTTGTCTTAACAAAATTAACAGTTGTCTGCAACGTGGCTTTTCAGTAAAATTATTTTCCATGCATAGCTCAACAAATGCAAAAATGTCAGTAAGCAAGGTCAGACCTAGCTTATCTCTTGGATTGTTTTTCTAAATATTCAAACAAATTCTTAAGCTATTCCGTTTGCATCTGAAATGGGGGACAGTCCCTTTGGAAGTCAATGGTAACGCCTACACAGAACTTCAAAAAGTCTTTTAGGCCATGGACCGCACCTGTGTCAATGATGGTTGGCCAGGTTTTCACATCTACAGCAGCAGCTGCCTCTCTGGATTTCAGTAGTCTCATTAAGGTCTGAGTTGTGAGAATACAGGCAGCTTTGCTGACCTGAAAAGATAAACACTTACTAAAAAATACAGACAAAAGCACGGTGCAGTGGCACTGTCATTACAAGATTTGATGTTCAGAGAGTGTATTTTACCATCTGTAGCCAGCTTCCCCTAACAAACCTGCATTAATTTCTTTGGCTTTTGCAACACTACTCTCTACTCTTACTTCACTAAAACCCCAAACACAGACTAAAATGCAAATAACCACATCAGGAGCTTCAGAGCAGGTGAGAACTTCACACAGTCTACATCAAGCTTTCTCCCCACAGTTATAATGGGGAGGCATCTTTTCCTGGTTCCTGGACTTGGAAAATAACTAATAGCAAGATCTGCACTTGCCCAGCAGTAAGGAGTGCCAGTGTGAAATTTTAAGGGCTAATATCACGTTAGTACCTCTGAGAAAGCACCTGTTTCATAGCAATTCATCTTGCCACATAAGAAGAGATGGTTCTCTCTTGTATTTTATGAATGAAAACATTGTCCTTCAGTTATAAGACGTGCTTCAGTCACTGCTGTCACATAAACAGCACGGGGTTTGTGTTAACCACTTGAGGCTGAGTGGCAGAAGCAAGAAAGCTCCAGCCATGCTCTCTGCTCCAATCCCCTTACTCACTTCCACGATCATTCGCACAGTGGGCAGAGTAGCAGTGAGGCTCTGAGCATGAGGTGGTCTCACGGTCACAGGGATGCAGCCAGCGTACAAACAGCCATAGAACGCGGTGATTAGCTCAATGCCTGCAAGGACACGAGAGGCTGTAGTGTGGGACAGTGGTGGGTGGACATCCTGGTGACACCAGCCTTTCCTCCCCACTCCCCCTGAGTACTTTTTCGCCAAGCATTGGTTACAATTTCCATTAAAAGAAGGAACACACACTACTCACTTCCACAGCACAGATGTGCAACATCAACAGTTCAAACACCAAGGGCAGCACAACAAGGAAGCTAAGAAAGCTTGGAAAAGGGGACTGGGAAAGTAGAGAAGACTGACCACACAGAAAACCATATCCATCTTAGAGGAAAAGAATGTTCCAAGTGTCTCAAAAATCAATCAGGACAAAACAGAATTGTCTGGCAGGGCAAGAAGCACACACACCAGAGAACACCTCTCATCAGCAGCGAGCATCTTACTCCCACCAAGTGATTAAGCTGTGTGCTACCGGCCACAGCAGGCAGACCACGCTTCCCACTGCTCCCAGCCTGCTGCTGCTATAGAAAAGGCACCCAACACTCTCAGATGAAGTGTCCATTTCCTGCACAGCTGATGGTGACGGTACCAGTCTCTACCAGAAGCCACCCTGTCATTTCCCATAGCAAACTACATGTTTTCCCTGGATGAAAAGCTGCCAACTGGCAATGTGACTTCAGACAAACAAGATCTGAATAGATCAGGAGGTGAGGAGTCTCTGGTATGGTGACTAAAGCAATTCTCCAGGACATGCAGTGAGGTCACAAGTTTCTAATAACTTTGCAGTGAACATATCACACCAGAGGACCTTTGATAACTGCAGGAGTAGTTGAAGTTTTTATTCTAAACATCATGACACAGCAAGATCTAGCCAGGAGTGAGAAGGTACAAATTGGCTTTTCCAGGACTCTAGAGAATCAAAGTTCGAGTCCTGATAGTGCAAGACATTAGGACAGTCTTCTCTGGAGTCAAAACTAGATCAGTGAGTTATGCAGTCTCTAAGGTATTGCTGTTTCAATGAACTCTCCTATATTTCCAGATCCCAATGAGATTTGAAAGAAAGACCATGCTACATTTCCACAGTGAGATGCAGTCATTATTAAAACTCGCTTACCAGGAGGATAAAGAAGCACCACATTGTCTCCTGCATTGAGATGTCCTTTGTCACACAGAACTGACGCAATTCTCTCAGCTTTTTTGTGCAACTGAAGGCAGGTGGCTGTGCACACAGTAGTTCCCTTGAAAGGAGACAAAAATGCTCTAAACAAGGCCTGGCACAACACATGTGTCAGTAAAATGGCTGCTGCAAAAAAAACCCCAACCCAACCCAAACCAAAACCAAACTTGCTTGCTAGCATCAGTCTAGAGCTACGAGTTATCTATACCTATAGGCTGCTGGCATTCAGTGAGCCATTTATCCACTACAATATCAAAAAGATAGAGATGGAGTTAGATCTGCTCTAGAAAATTCTACCTTCCAGGGAGTCAGTTTCAGGTCTTCTTGCACCAAAACATTGCCAGAATATACCCAACAGGGATACACCATTAAAAGATACAGGAACCAGTGGGACCTATAAACATGCTCAGTTTTAAAATGAAGCACTGAACCATGACAGTCATTTAGATTAAGCGACCTACAGGTTCAAAGGTTCAAATTTTAAGTTACAAATCTATGGGCAAAATCCGACAGAGCGATTAAACAGCGGACACTGCAGTGGGCAAAAGATTTTAAACCATCTCAAACTTGTGCTGAATTAACATGCTGCAGACCTTAAAAGAAACCCAACAATTCAGCACTGACTGTACCTTGGCATTTAATAAAAGGAAGAGTGGGTGGTCAGGAGTTGCTTGAGCTCTCCACTGTAAGACCTCTGTCAGGAACTGGTGCTGAAACAAAGAGGCAGTAATTAAATACTAGAGCTTCTGCTCCAGAGACAGGACTTCAGTCCACTTCACATTGCTGCTTTGCATTCAGCTGTAGGATAAATTCTTTTCCTGTTCTCTAGGTGTAACAAATACTGATTTACCTTTTTAACTAAATCATTGTCTTCTATTTGACCAAGATCTCTTCCAGAGGCTTGAGCAATACGCTTCCCAGCAACCAGGTTCCCCACCATCACAGAGGCAGGGCCAACGCCTGTTGATAAAGAACAGCTCCTTAAAATCTGGACTTTTAATGCAAATTGGAAAGAGCTGGCCTAGAACTGCAATCTGCAGGACAGCAAAGGCACAGAGATTCTCTGTAGGATCCCACTGCCCCTGGGCCTGGGTGCAAGAGAGGTAATGAAAACTCTGTCAGAGTTCAGAAGACATTGGTAGTCTCCTATTCATCAGGAGAGAGAATCCCAATGAATTCAAAGGTAGAAATCAAAGTTCCTGACTGACACATGCAAAGAGAGGCCTCAAACATGCCCCAGCTACAGGCTACAAGACAAACTGTGGCCCCAGCAAAGTAGGACACTCAGTGTCAGAGGCATCACACAGCTGCCTAGGTCAGAGGTTGTGAACTTTAGTTTACTAACATTAAACAAAAGGGACTGGTGTTACCTGGTTGTTTCTGCCTGGGTTTTGGCAAGTTCGTCACACACGTGTGCGGGCACATGAGGATGTTACACGGGTGCAAAGAGCCTTCCAGAAAGTGCTGTTTAGTTTGAGAGATATGGATTCCTCCCAGTGGAGTTTTTGGCAATGTATTGGCTGGCACGAGAGCAAGGCAATATACACCCACTTGGTGAATGCTGTCAATCGCCTAGGGAAAGGAAAGATGGTTCACTTGAATTCTTGGTACTACTGGAGACAGTCTGCTGTTAGTGGCCACACTGATATATTGCAAGATAAATTCCTGCATTTATAAGGTACTGGGGAGCAAGTCAGTCAATATAATTTCACTTCACCTCTGTAACATCAGCGAGCCTTATACTAAGAGTTAAGTGCTTGTTACCACCCCTGCTTTTATAGTTCGTTTCATATACGAGAAATCCATTTTTAAATTTTTCATGACCAAAATCCCAAAATATACAGTTGCTTGATGAATCATATGATTTTGATCTCGGGATTTTATCCATCTGCCTCCTCTGAACCATCACACTCTGTTCCTTTTCGTCCGCCTCAGCATTCAGGCATCTAATACATTATTCAGACCACCAGGTACTTCCCTGGTTTTTCTCCCCAGTTTGCACATTCACAACCTGAAACATCATTCCCAAGAATGACACAGATGCAATGCAGGCAGCTTTCTATGTATTTCCTACTCATTCTACTTTCTTAGCACTACACTCATTCAGCTGTTTTAACCTTTCTCTGCTTACTGTTTCCCTGCTGAAAAATCCATCTCCAAAGATAAGGGTGGCTTTAAAGCACAACTTGGAGCACCAGCATGATCCAAGACTAACAGCAGAACCCCTAAGCTTGAGCAGTACATCTGCTTTGCTGTGCTGAGAGGCAACTGTGTTTCTCTACACAATCATCTTGCTAGCACAATGCTGACCGCTTCGGCAGAGCCTACGCTGTTCTGTGTTGCAGACGCTCTCCCAGGACCTTCAGGACATTAACAGAACAGCTTGTACACAGCAGATGTACCCAGCTTGCGACCCTGTAAAAATACCTTGTGCCAAGAGGGATCGTGAGCCTGTGCTCTTTCCATCTGGGGCATGCTGGTGGCCTCTGATCTGCCCACACGCTGAAAAACTGCACAAATTCACCTCACCCACCTATGTAAATGGATTTACCTGCAGCACTCGACTCATCCACTGAAAACTGTCCTCTTCAGATGCATCTGGCCTCTGCTCTGCAACCACCACAATCCTCTCATCATAGAAGACAGATACTGAGAAGACAGCAATCCTAAGGAAAAGGGGAGAGCCATATTGGCACAAATTCCTTGGGAATAGGAAGCCAAGGAAACAGACTAAAGACACAACTCATTAAAGAAAAAACAAAACCATGAAGCAAAGATAGAGAAAAAAAACACTAAACAATTAAAAGTGAGTAACAAGGGAAAGACTTTGTGAAGTAAGGGATTAATTCTACCTGCTGATGACATTTCTGCAGAGCACAGTCCCCTGTCCTCTCAACCTGCTATCACATTCCTGTGGCAAATCACCAGTGCAATAAAAGCTTTAAGAGTATCTGTGTGATGCAGGGGGCTTAAAATCTCTTAACTCTTAAGAAACACGAGGTCTGACCCTGCCTGAGGATCAGAGAATTACATCCACAACTGCTAAATGAAATTAAGTATCTTTGGACATTAATGAAACCCTTCCTTGCTGCAGAGCATCAGCCAGCAGCTAACTACTACAGAGTCTTAAAAGTAAATTCTACAGAGACGGATAATTCAATCCTCCATGTGTCTGACTTATCTTGTTACTTGATTCCTTCCCCTGAAGTACACAGACTTGATGAAAAGCCAGACAGGATAGTGGGGAAAATCTCCTGTGTTGGGCAGGATCAGGCCAGTTACTGTCTCAACTAAGAACATATTTACTTTAACTGAGCTTCCCAAATGAACCAGTTACTGAGGAGAAACCAAAGATCACCCTAAATATTGTGTTTTGTTATGTCACATGCAGAGTTTTTGGGGAGAGGCAAGGGTTTTTTTGCTAACCTTCCTCTGTAAACTGTTTTTATTGACTCTACTGCCAATCCAGTTGCTACGATGTCATCAGCATTATGTCTCCGTCCGCTAACCGTCAGCAATCCATCCATTTTTCCAACCACAAACACCAAACTGCCCTGAAAGATAAGAAGGTACCTGTGAGTAACTTACACAAAGCGGATATTCGAATGTCTTTGATGACTTGCATATTTCATAACTATGGTTAGATCGATGGAATTTGTATAAAACACATTTTCTTTCTCTTTAAATTGCAGGATTTATGACTAAACCAAGAGATGCATTCTAGTCACTGAGGGAGACAAGACACTCCAGCACGCAGAGCAGAACTGCCACACAAAAAGCTTCTTACACTTGGTTTTAGGAGAATGAGCAATCTCAAAATGCACCAAGGAACACAGTCAAGCACTGTAATGACAACATGCTGGAAGAGTAAGGGTTCTTAATGGCTCAGGCAAACCTGTTAACTCTCAACTGTCCCATCCACAGCAAACTGGCTATACACACACTTCTGCACCCAAATGCTTTTCTTTTAAACATTCAAGGCTGTTGGCATGAACAATATACAGCAATGCAAGCTCAAAAATGATACTACGTACAGGTCCAACAAACCCCAGCAAGCCAGAACGGACAAATGGCACATCACCCACTGGAGAGCCAGCTGAGTTCACAGGGATAACCTGCAACAGAAGGGAGGACATTGGAGGCAACGTGGATTTGCCTGAGGATAGAAAAGCATTCCCCACAGCAAGAATTTGCACTGTATGTGAGTGAAGTGATGATGAGAAGGGGAGGGACTCCTTGCTACAGTCATCTGGCCCTGTGGGAGACCTTTATGAAAGAGGAACACTGAATATATCTAACTGTAAGGAGTTTTTCAGTGTATCTTTTTTAAAAAAACATTAACACCTCTGGCCCTGTGGGAGACCTTTATGAAAGAGGTCTGAATATATCTGACTGTAAGGAATTTTTCAGGGTATCTTTTTTAAAAAAACATTAACACTTAAGTTACAAAACCAAGAGATTATACAAGGCAAGTAGATGAATTTTACTGTACATGCATTTTACAGTAGATGCATTTTACTGTACATACCTCAAATGTATTCTTTGTCACCCCTGCCAGCCCATAATACATCATTCCTCCTGCTCTGGAGCTAACACAGATTTCACCAATCTCATCTGTTTTACAGAGCTGAGGTGGTCCATCAGGTTTCACTATACACATCATTCCTAGGACAAATGATGCATTGTTAAAATAGTCCCCAAAATGTGCCTTGTGTCAGAAATGGCACATTTAATCATGACAGATATGACAACAGAGTACGGGGACTGCGTAACCTCCCCCAGTGCTGAGGCTGAGTATAGAAGAGAACATTGACCAGTTCTTTTTCTAAAACACTCCAGATTGTTTGCAAAAAGGTCTCACAGGAGACTCCTGCACATCTTTACCTCCTGGCATCACATGGCCAACGTCCTGGACAGTGAGAGCAGAGTTTTTATCTTCAGTGTTGACACGAATCACACCGAAACTCAGCCCGTTCATGGACAGGATGGCTCTTCCAGGCAAAGGTGCCCCAGGGACCCCAGGCCTTTGAAGGACACAAAATCAATACACTCAATCAGGCTCACAGGCTATTATTAGACTCGGATTAAGACAGTGCAGCAAGAGAAGTATGCATATTTCAGTGTCTCTTCTTTGCAGAACAAAATTAAAGCTGTGAGATGGCAGCAGAGAATGACTCCCAGAAGACTCATCAATAATTGGGCAAGAGCAACTCTTCTTCCAGCTCTTTTAGCTTATCCCATGTTAAACATCAGCTCCCAGGCCAGATGATCACAGGGCTATTTAATACAGAAGGCAGTAATGGACAGAAACAGACTATGAAAATGACTATCCAAAGTGGTATCAAATTTAATCTCAGATTCAAGAATGCCACACTAGCTGTGTAAATCAAGAGTAGGAAAAAGCAGTGCACAGTTCTTACAGGCACTGTTGAGCTGTCACACATCTTGGAGGAAAAAAAAGCCCTCGTATCTTAGGAGAAATGTTTAACAACTTAGCTACTTGAATACCTGAGCACACACAGTAAATGTCAGTGGAGCTCATTACATGCTTAAGTCAACTATGACAAACTGTTGTGTGAACAAACCTCAGCCTGGATCACTTAATCTAGCAGACAGACTGCAATGCTGCACGCCCATTACCTCCGTATTGCAATAGTCATCGCTTCTGGAGATGTGGCACACGGACAAATTGCCTCTGGTTTAAGCCCATGGCTCTGAAACAAGCTGAGGAAGGCATCACATGAGGAAACAGACCCTGAGAAGAAAGAAAATATGCCATTATGAATTTGATTTTTAAAATTATCTGTAAAATAACCTAGAAATAAGTGCAGTGTGTTTGCAGAGAATATATACTGTATCACTTCTAAAAACTCCAGGTAGCATCTTGCAAGTTACCAGCCACAAAGGAGCTGAATTGCCTACTGCATGTGACTTGGGAACAGGTGTATTCTCTTCAACAACTCTGCTTTTCTCCCCCAGTTTGCTTCAGAGTTATTACACAATATTATATATCCTGTTATATACAACAACAGGCTTAAAATACTTTCCAAATCTCCAATAATTAGTGCACACATGTGGTGTCTGTTTCCATGCAGCAGGCATAATCCAAACAGGTCTAACGGTATTCCAAGTATCCCTCCCAGCTGGTGCCATTTAGACAAACATTCTTTAAGCCTTTTCACTACCAGCATTCCTTGCAGGTTTTTCTGGACATTTTTTCCCCCCCTTCAAAGTTCTTCTTAAAAGCCTTTACCTTATCCCCTGTGAGCAATTTAAAACCAATCTCACTGTATCTACCAGAATTCTGTTTTACACACAAGAGCTCCTCATTAAACTCTCCTGTTTCTTACTTTGTAGTCTTTCACAACTCATACTCAAAGGATGAAAGCACAGAAAAGTCTTTGACCTGGTGCTCGAGTACCACAATCCACAGCTCTGTGTTACTAGACGGCTGCCCTAAGTGAAATCTTCTCAGAAGTATCTACCAAAGGGATTAAGCTTGAGCCAGTGAGACAATTAGCTGAGAAACCCCCTCTCCCATGAACAGGAGGATGTTCATACTCACAAGGATTTGCACCATCAGTGACAATCAGCATGCGCAGAGAACTCAAGCTGACGTCTCTTTGGTCTCGATGGGCCATCATGGCCCAGTGCAAGTCTCGACACTTGACTAAAGCAACTTTTGCTGCAAACCAACACACAAAAAAAATCCATAAAAGGACAAGTAAAAGCTTTCCATGAGTCATCTTCATATGAATACACACTCCAACACTCCCAAGAAAATTCTCACTAAAGCAAGGAAGCCTTAATTAATTGAGCCTGCAGTAACAGCAAACCCCAACATGCAATAGCATCTGCTGTGGCATACAGGCCATTTGCTCACCACCTGAGCCAGGGTCTGTTACTGTGGCATCCCCTCCTCCAAAATGCAGAAATCATTATCACCATCTGAATGTCCTCAATGAGGACTGGGGAATCAATAGATCTTGCTGTGCTCAACTATTTTCTTGGTTTCATAAAAAGCACTGGCTTTAAGTACATAGGTCATGAGGTCCCCATCAAGTTCAGACATTCACATGGCATTAGGACTTTGTGCATATTTAGAAATGAATTAAGAGTTTTGGCCCTTGTGATTTGTCATGGAAAAGCAAGAAGACAGGCTCTAAAGCATTTGAGATTTTAATGCCCCTCACTCATTTATCCTGATGGGCTGAAGTTGTAGAACATACACAGTTACCTTTGTGGGCATGAACTCTCTGCACCCATGAGAGTGGACAGGTTTTCATCACAGAATAGGGCACACTGATGGTATGAAGTTTGTTCATTACATTCTGAAAAGCAGAAAAAGATTTTTAGAAAAGGGCTCACAAAACCTATTATGAAGCAGAAATAGGAGTCACCCTCACTGCCCATCAAGCCCTATCCCACAGAGAATTTTACTGAGGATGCCTCTACACTTCCCTCCAGAGAACTGCAGATCCAGCAGGGAGAGAAATGGTTGACTTAATAGGTAATGGTCCTCAACCATCTCCTCAAATGTTGCAATTATAAAGAGTTATGAAATGCTTCAGAAAGTCTTTACAGGTTCAACTCACCGTTAGAATGCCATGCCACAACCCTGCATCCTTCTTAAAATCCAAAACATTCACTATCGTTTCACCTGGGAAAAGAGAAGTTGTAGTTTTGAAGTGAAATGTGCCAGGACAGCTGTGATCATTATTTATGCCAGAATCTGCATACGTTTGAATCTGTCATTGGAATCTGTCAGATCTGCTCCAAGAGGTACACGTGTAGCAAGCAAAGTCAGAGCCTTGTTCGTCTGATGATACATTTTACTAGTCAGAGCTCCTTGTTATGCAAAATAACAAGACTGAACATCAATTTAAGAGAAGGAACACATCCCAGAAAGTTACAAGAAAATTACATTCCAGCCTGTAATGTAACTCAGTACAACAGAAAGGGTCTTAACCTCATTATGCATGAGCAGTAGCAGGGCAAGAGAGTAGAGAACATCATTCAAGCACTGACTCCCAGAAGCAATGGAAATTAAAGCAATGGCTTCCAAAAGACAAACTCTGCATTTTAAATTACTATGACATACAGCTCTAAAAATAAAGTTTCAGTCATAGATATATAAATTAGCTCGATTTACAAGGCAGACCAGATTAAAACCATGTCCTATAGCAGAACTCTCTGTACTCCCACTAGCAATTTCCAATCCCCATTTCTGGACCAGTCAAACAGCCTCATGTGACTGGTACAGAACCAGTTTATGCAAGAGGTGCTTTGATACTTACACACACTATCAAGAACAGAAGTATGGAAAGATATTTTAATGAGGGATCAGTACAGTGAGAGGGAGACTCAAGCTTGTCGGAGAACGCTCCACGTTTGATTCACATTTCTGTGACATCACCTACCTTCAGAATAATTGCAGGCCTGAGACAAGGCTTGACAGTGAGACAGCATGGCGATCCGAGACACTGTAACACCCATGACACTGCCCTCTTTGCTCGTCTTGTACTACAGAAGAGAAAAAAAGTTGTGTTCCTCAAAAGCTGCCGAGACATACTCAATAAAGTACGTGCTTGTAGAAAGGTATCAGCAAGGCTCACTGATGAGAAGATGGTTATTCAAGTGGCAAACATGTTCAGAGAACTCCAGAGAGACGTGAGATAAAGATGACAATTGAATGTGTTTGCATTTATTTTACTGTTACTACTTCTCACAACATCTCCTCCTCCTCCTCCCATAAGTAAACTGAAAAGCCAATTTGTAATTTTAGAATAGCCAAAGTACTGTTACTACTTAAACCACTGCAATTCCTAGAAGTTGCCTTAGTGAGGTGTACAAACCAAAAGAAGAGGTTTCTAGGAAGAAACCTTCTAGGAAGAAGAGCAAACTCAAAATGCTGCTGTCTTAAGTAGTTTCAGAAATCTGTGTTATCAAGTGCTCTCAGAGAGCTCAGTTATCTCCATTACCAGCATGCTGGAACAGTGTTCTCCAATTCATTTTGAGCAGGGCTCAAGGCCACAAAGGTATTCAAAACTAAAATAAGTAAGAATCGTTTCAGTGGCTAGAAACTGGGAAGTTTAAGGTAGTGAGGCAAAAGTATTATCTCTCTGGTGATTAGAACATTAAATTCAGCTCCTGGAAACTCCTTTCTATTCCCCATTCACTACTTACCTCAATGTATGCTGGCTCAGTTCCTGCAGCGGAGATGTTGGGCTGCCAGTCCTTTGGAGATTTGGAGAGATATTTTGAATCTGTCACAACCCATTTGAGTCTGGGCCAACCTAGAGCCAAAATTAAAGTGGAATATTAATATCAGTTTGTTTATTGAGAGATTTATATTCTGTAAGAATACACTAAAACCTCATCATTTGTCCAAGTTCAGTTACACAAGCAAAATACCAACTCAAGCCAAGCTACTAGCCAGAAGGTTCATCTTGTTTCTCATCAGGGAGTTCAGTGGGCAACAAGGCACTTCCTCTACTCAGGAAAGATCCCTGCAGAATTTCTAAATATAGCTTGTTGTATCAACTAATAAAACTGCTTTTTGAACTGGCCAAATGCTGCTGAAGGGATTTGAGGACAACCCTGGCTTGTAGGGTGGATTCATCGTGATTTCCAGAACAACAAAGCAATTCTGTCAGACACATGGATGAATCTAGACCATACGCATAAAACCTACAACAGTTCAGTGATGCTATCAGAAAAGTTGCTCCCTTTGCTGCCCCCAAATGCATTCAGACTTCTGACAACTCCTTTCAGACAGTTCAGCTATAGTAAAAGTACAATCAAAAGCAAGTATGTAACCAATCTAACCTTTAAACTGCACGATTTCTCCATTTTGGGTTTTTGGAAGCCCTTTCAGACAAACTTCAGTGGTGAGGGCCAAAGCAATACCACAGCTTCCCAGGAGAAAACCAATCTGCTGACCACCAGCATCCTGAGGAAGAGGAGGAAAAAAAGTCATTTCTGTTTAAAAATGACATAAGTCAACTTTCCCCTTACCAAAATCCAAGGTCTGGTAATGCTCTGGTAACTGGATAGTAACATTATGGATCACATGGGGAGGAAAAAGAAGAAACAACCCATGTCCACAAACACCCTTTCCTTTGGTTTGTGTTTCTCCTCCCACATCCAATGTCTGGCAATGGTTTGAAATGAAACTCAAATGACAACCACTGTCTGGAAGGGATGAACACAAGAGCTTCTAAGCTTACACAATAACACATTTTGGAAGATGATATATATCCAGCACAAAGGCCTGCTGAGTGAAAATGGGAGACATACCTACAAGCCAGTAAAAGCCCACAGGAAAATAGTAAGCCCTTAGAAAAATGCAGAAGGGCTACTTAATCCTTTGCAGACCAAGTCTGCTCTTTTCAATTAATTTTGTTTTAAAAATGAAATGATTATGTAACTGGGGACAGATTGCAGAGAAATTTGGTGATTGGCAAAGGGAACTCTTTATACATAAAACAAATATTACATTGGCAAGACTAAAATGCATTGGACGTGAAATCCACAGAAAACAAGTGCTCATGCCCAGCATCTAGGCATCCAGCATCCACCATTTATTTTCATTAATGGAAGCCCAGATGCTTCAAAGAGGAAAATCACGAGGCAAGAAGAGCAAAAAGTACAATTACACCGAAATAACAAGGCCTCTCTTTCCCCAGGAACTAATTTCTATTGCACAATGAGAAACACACTGAAATGAGGCACCTCACTATGAAATCTGACTGGGTAAATACTGGGAGAAGTTTTAATTTTGTATTTAGTTGCTAGAACAGTTGTTGTGTTGCAGCCAAATGAAAGCAAAGCTCTGTGACTCCCATAGCATTGCCAGACCAGCTTACCATTTCATTACCACCTCTCTTGCCATGTTTGCCATTATCCTGTTTCTTTTCATTCCTCTTATGAAATCCTATAGTTTTAGATAGTTCTTGACATGGCAATAACAAGGCAATATTGCAAAAATTCTGGTAAGGGTAAAGAAAACTCTTCATTGAGCACACAATTTACAAATAGTGCCTTGAAGTCTTCAGAAATACTTAGCACCTTCAGTCTCCAGCAAAGTCAAAACACTGGCAGGTGCTAAGCATGGTTGGAAATGAGACCCTCCCTTCACATCAATCAGAGGGTAGATTCACATTATTATGGGTACCACAGAAATTATTTGTGGTAACAGAACAAAGACTACAGCATTTAGGTGAATCGACCATTTCCAGCTGCTCAGCACAGCTCTCTGGTCAATAAGTTTTTCCATTTTTAAGCAGCCATTCCAGGTTCACAAAGGTCTCGCGTACTGCGTTGATATGGAGCTGCTCAGGCAGCAGCTGGATGCTGTGAAACACTTTCAGAGGTTGATGGTCTGACTTGGTTTTCATCCCACATCAGCCTATCACTGCTCTTAAATTCCAACAACGTTACCTTTCTGGTAAGAGGTACCTCTATAGGCACGGGTATGACTTCTGCTAGGAGACAGCCGTAAAATGCCACCATAAACATGACTGGGTCATTGTTGGGATAAACAAGGGCTACCTACAATTCAGAAAAATGTTTTGTTAGTTGAAATACAGGGAAAAAATTGCAAAGTTCAGATCTAGAACAACTAAAAGTCAGAAAACTTTCTGTTATTTCATGTTCTACCACAGCATTTTTCACAGGGCATCTTCAAGTGCTCTTTCTTCCATGGCATGTATGGTACGTGCATGAGTTTCTCACGCAGTAACGTCAGCATTCCCTGTGTGCCCATACACATGAAGATGCACACACAGCCAAAACACAGAGGACATCTAACACTCTGTATTTCTCTCAGAGGTGCAATGCTCTTCCTTAGATGTATTTCAATGTCCAGAGCCAAGAAGTTGCTTACAGAGGAGTCAGCAGGACTGAAAAATCACAGAAGTTTATTTCCCAAATAGCCTGTCCCTGGGATGAGTCTCGCTATTAAAAGAACAAGATTATAGTGTCTGTGGTAAGTTCCAGCCCCCCAAAACCCTCTTTTTACTTCAGAGGGAGAACCAGACAGTCCCAAACTCATTACCCTATCTCCAGGTTTTAACACGGGTTCATTTTTGGTCCCCAGTTTATTAAGCAGTGTGTAGGCCAGCTTGAGACTTCTGCTCCACAATTTGCCTAGAACACAAAGAAGAGAGACTTGCACAACTCTAAATCAACCCAGCATACAAGAGAATATTTCAGTTCTCTACTGCTTTTACCATCTTCAGTCACGTCCTCTCTTTCAGTTACACAGCTTTGGCTACAAAGCTCTCAAAAACCAGGAAGGTATTTGCAACCACAGTAAGACCCAACAACCCTGTGTTCTATCCACCACTGCTCTTTCAGAGCAGTTTAGCAATGGAAGTCAGGGCTCGACTCACCATAGGTGAGGGTGTAAACTGGTTTTCCTGTAACATCCAGTGCTGTCAGACAGGGACATTTAGCTTGTGTGGTTCCCCAGCGCTGCAGTGCTGCTTCTAAGGCAGGAGGCCAGTTACAAACAACTCCCAGGGGTTCTCCCTTCACAGGTGTCATCTGGCGTCCCTCTGGCTTGGGCTGATTTGGGTCAGGCTGCGGAACTGAAGAAAATTCAATCATGTTTCCAGTTCATCTTTGCCCATTTGTTACTAGATTGTTAAGTTGGAAAGATGCACTGAAAACAAATGCTTTTCCTCATCATGTTTAGGTTTAACAACCCCTATCACATTTCATTTCCTAGGAAGCACTGCACAAAACAAAACATCATGAACACAGTCTTCTCCTAATGTGTTATTCAAAGGTGTTCCATACAACAGTGAGGAAAGCAACACAGAACTGGAGAAAAGAAAAACAATCTTATAAGATCAGGTTGTAATGACATTACCAGTAAAGATAATCCCTTTTGGGAAATTAATTCAAGCAGCCTAAGCAAATGAAGATTTAAAAATCTATCTAAATATTTTGGTTAATAAGTTTTAGTTATTGTAAGAAGTTTAGCGTTGAGGAGGCCACCCAAAGCTCAGCAGTACAGTAAATTACTTCAAACACTGGTTTTGTGCCAGCTGACTCATAAAGGCTACTGCTAGGTGCAAATAGCAAGTGGACTTTGAAAGCTCTGAATGGCATAAATAAATTCAGTACTGTGCCTATCTGAGTACTTAAAACAAATTACCAATAAAAAACACTATTTGGTGCTGTTACCTTCCACAATTTCTTCAAAATCATCCACAAAAAATTCTTTTAGGGGTGGTCTTTTCGGTCTTTTCAAGGTGTTAAGCAACTGTTGAATTTTTGTGGAGACTCTACTACTCACAGGAACACCTGGAGGGAAAGATTTTGTCTAATAAAAGTGTTCATCGTGTCCATTAACATTTACATCTTACCTCCTTCCACCACAGGATACTTCTCTTGGTATGCCCACTCATTCAACTACTGGCTTCCATTATTAAAGGCTGTGCCAGTGCAAGATGACATTAGTAAGTATAACATCAGTTCTGTATTATCTCAGTGGTCAGAAAATGCTAGTAATAGAAATTCATTTTCAAAGCATTTACTCCCTTCCAAAACCCAATTTCTATCTGTCTCTGACACGCTGCACTTGCTGTAAAACACAGCCTACATTATTTCATGCACCTCACCTTTCCTTTTAGAGATTTTAGGACAAAAGCTTTTAAAAACAATTAGCCTACCTATGCATTTGTAGGTTTTTTTTCTTAAAAAGTGGTAGAGGAAAGTCTACTATCTCTCCCATGATGTTCTCCAGTTCAGTACATAGTAGGTAATCGCTGCACCATGGGAATGTGTTAATGTCAATGTCATAACTGCAGCACAGGGATGTGTTAATCATAGAATCGTAGAATGGTTTGGATTGGAAGGGACCTTAAAGCTCATCCAGTCCCAACCCCCCTGCCAGCAGCAGGGACACCTTCCACTAGACCAGGTTGCTCAAAGCCTCATCCAACCTGGCCGAGAACACTTCCAGGGAGGGGGCATCTACAACTTCCTTGGGCAACCTGTTCCAGTGTCTGACCACCCTCACAATGAAGAACTTCTTCCTAATATCTCATCTAAACCTCCCCTCTTTCAGTTTAAACCCATTTCCCCTTGTTTTGTCATTAACTGCCCTTATGAAAAGTCCCTCCCCAACTTTCTTGTAGGCCCCCAATGCTAATGCCATAATCATTTCAGATTTGTGAAGTGCTTAAATGGGATAAACTTGAGTTGGGAGAATAAATCACGTGATTTAAGTCCTTCCTTAACACCATTTTAATTTCTGGGTACTCTGAAAGGTTCCGTACCATCAGCAGTATCCATGAGACTAGACCGGTTAGATCCCTTGTGCATCCCTTTCACGATCCCTGAAGGAGGAAGGTCAATCGCTGCTGGGCGTGCTGAGGAAGAGGAGGTAGTTGCTGTGACATCTGGGGGAACTGAGAAAGTTTCTAAACAAAGGGAGAAAATTAAGATAGCAGTTAACATACACTTTGTATTAACAGATGGAACAAGCAAAGTGTTAGTTACCTGTTACCAACAATCATAAAAACTTAATGGGTTGAATGCATGGGAGTTCTTATTAATGCTAAACACACGGCTTCCTAAATATTAAGCAGCTCTAGGAGGTGCACATTATCTGTTCTGGAAAACAGAAAACAAAGGCATGAGATGAGTGGCTTTGTCCATGTCAGGAAAGTGGTTCACTAAGACAGAATTCCTATTTTTGGTTTCTAACCTTCAAATCAAGTTCAAATCTCTTGACATTCAGTACTGAAAAAAAGAAAAAAGAAAAAAAAAAAAAGAAAAAAGGAAAAAAGAAAATAAAAGAAAGAAGGAAAAAAGAAAAAAATAAAAGAAAGAAGGAAAAAAAAAAATAAAAGAAAGAAGGAAAAAAGAAAATAAAAGAAGGAAAAAGAAAATAAAAGAAAAAAGGAAAAAAAATAAAAGAAAGAAGGAAAAAAGAAAATAAAAGAAAAAAGGAAAAAAAAGAAAAAAAAAGTTTGAGAACAAAAAAGGAAAAAAAAAAGAAAAAAAAAGAGTTTGAGAAGCACATGAGCTCTGAAATATTCAAAGCCCTAGAACAAAAACCTACATCACCTATGCAGTAATCTCTCTTGCTAGAATTATACTATTTAACTTTTTTGTCAGTAAGGGCTTTCTAAAACAAAACATGTGGTAGTCTATTGACTAAAGCAGATCAGCAAAAAAATCACGTTGGGTTTAAATTTCTTCCAGTTCAGTGGCTAAACAGTATGAGCCCTCCCAGCAGTTAAATAATAAACTTAAAAACTAATAAATTCAGTGAGCTGGGTCTTAGTTTGGTTTAAGTTGCAAGACACTATTCTGCTTTTCAGATGAGTTTGGAAGCTTCAAAACTGCAAAAGTAAGCCGGCATACTTCAGTAATTCTCTCATTAACTTTCTCTTAAATAAGCAGTTTTTGCTTACATGGGATTTCTTTGTACAATACAGTAGGTTCAATCATCTCCTAGGGCAAGAATATTCTGTTTAGAACCAGCAACTGTTGCTTATGAACTAAAAAACCCACCAACTTTGAAACTGGATGTTGGCACACACAGAGAGAGTCTGAAGGAAGATTTTTGTGGTTTATTCTCTGTGCCTCTCTTTTTATGGAGAAAAAACCATCCAATTCTGTGTACCTTTGGAGATAAGAGTGGCAAGGAATATTTCTCATATATTGAACTTTTAAGATCACTAGGAAGGTCCTAAATTTTGTACAACTCCAAACATTTGCAGGACTTTTTATTGCTCTCTCCAAAGAGATGTATAAAATTGCGTATGTGAGAGTTCCTATTCATTTAAATTAGGTGTTAACACAGGATGAAAGTGGCATCCACATAGCAAATATAATTCCAACAAAGATTTAAAGCTTCTGTTTTGCATAAAGTAGTAATTATATTAGATAGGAGTTATTCTGTAGGTAAAAAGCTGTATTATCTGAATTCATTACAAAAGGTAACGTGGCTTTCTGTATGCTCCGATTAAAAACAGCCTCTCTGCTTCAAAGACACATTAATTATATTGACCATATTTTATGGGCAATTTCCCCAGTTTTCCAATTCAGAAAACAACTTGCATCCCAACAAATAAACAAACAAAAATAACAGCAACAAAAAAAATAAGTTAAACAGTTAAAAAACACCAGCATTTCTATGCACTGCTTGCCCCAAACCAGTTAAGCAAAAGCAGAGAGCACACAAAATACAGACATCTCCTGAGATGCAGTAATATCCTCCACAGCAGATAAAAAAGACAAACACAGAGCAAAAACAAACTTTGCCATTTCATACAGAAGCATCAGCAGCGAGGAGCACCTCAGAACCTCAAAAAACTGAGCCTGGGGTATCCAGATCTGTAGATTTTGCTCCGTCTTCTCAATACCTGGATGCTCTGATTATTTCTCAGACATAGTCATGAAAGATCTGTGCTAAATCTTCACTCTGCTCAAATCATTTCTTTTAATGACATGCTCATTTGTGCATATATATGGCTGATTTTGGTTCTTTTCTTTTCTTTTTAATCTAACACAAACAATAAACCATTAGGGCTTATATAGGATGGCTGATTTTGGTTCTTTTCTTTTCTTTTTTTTTTAATCTAACACAAACAATAAACCATAAGGGCTTATATAGCAAAATGAGAATGTTAACACACAGCATTTCCCCCACTCTATAGGCAAAGCCACCCCTATGGAATTCATCAGGACACAGATGCCAAATGCTACTTGCATAGGGCAGCCTCGTACACACAGTAGCTTCAAAGAGCTGTAGACATAAGCAACACAGTATACAGAAAGAAAGTCGTGCCTCCTGATCCTGTCATCACACCCTGGAGGTTTTTCTACTTTAATGAACTCCTGCTCCCCACTTCCCCTTTTTCAGCCAACTCAATATTCTGAGATTCTTCAGAAAAAAAAAATTAAAAAAAAATCATGATGGTGCAACTCCAACAAATCCTGGCAAATTCCATCACAACTCACTAAACTCTTGATCCAAATTTCCCTTACGCCACGGACAACTCCAGCTTTATTAATACAATCTGAACTTGAAGCAATTTTTTTCTGTTCATACTCATCTCCTACCTATTCGAGTATTGGCAAATACATCAGCTAGTGACCCACTGGTCCCTTTGCCTTCTCCATGGGAAAGTGTAGAAGATGCTGATGAAGATGTGGATGACCCCTGAATAGATCGGTTGATCCAAGACTCAGCATTCTGTAAGCTCTGATGCAATGCAGCAGAAAGAGCAGCTTGGCGCCTTAGCGACCCCTCATCCTCGGATGCGGAAGACGTGTCTGTGTGGAAGCAGAAAAGAAAATCTAGCTGCTTAGGGAAAAGCACATGGCATAGAACATGCTCTCTTTCCAATTCACATAGCAATGGAACAGGCTTGTAAATATGAAGATTTTTTGGGTTTTTTTTTTTCCCCCACAGGCTGTGTCAAACAAGGTCACATTGGCCAAAACAGGAGTTGAAGCAGCAGACATCTCCAATGTGAATGTGTTTACCCCTTGTGTTTTGCCCCTGTTTAAAGCACATGAAAAGATTCACCTCCTCAGACAAGTATCCTTCCCCTGGGTTCTCCAAGTTTATTGACTTATCTCTCATTAATTTTCCATTCATGTTCTATAATATCAGATGCTGTATTGCCTAACTTTGGTAATTCTGAAATGGAAAGTGAGGGGTCAGTATCATCGTCAAAAGTGAAAATTGCCAGAACAAAGCAGAACTCAGGCACTGGGAAACAAATGTGCCAAGGCCAGGGGCAGAAAATGCTTTTGTCTGGTATTCTAAATGGGTCCCTTTCAATTGGAGAAAACAAACAAACAAACCAAACCAAAACAGAGAAAACTACACCGAGGAACTGCATCCTGCATTTCTGAGAGAACAGATACTTGGTCTATCCTAAAGCTGTGAAGTGATCACTTATATATCATGAAGAAAGCATTCATTACTTGATATCTTAAGCTGTACAGTGCTAGATACATACAGGCTTTGGTCTAAAATTTTATGTGTTCTTCAAAGTGACTGCCTGCCTATACTACAGCTGTAAATCAAACTACTAAATGACGTTCTACCTACTTGCCAAAGTAGAATGCAGTCACGAGCTGAAGAAAAAGACTGATTCCAGAGACACTGCAAGTGTTAACCTTTATTTGTGTAGCACCCACAGCTCAGAACGTGCTGCAGTCCTGGATGAATTAGTACAAAGCTGAGACCCAAGCAGACACCAGGAACATGCATTATACCCCAGTAAAAAGGAAAAGAAAAAAAAAGGAAGTATGAAGAAAAGAGGAGGTAAAAGAATAGGTGTGAGTGAAGTGGCCGAGCAGAGAAGTTTCAGAGACATATGAATTCATAGAGATATGAATTCATACTTTTAGGATGACTTCATCAATCCAAATGACTGTGATGCTTCTGCACAAGAAGAGACAACATAAAAGTCACTGTTGAAAATTACACATACTAATTTTTAAGCCAGTGCATATAGCTGCTTGAAAACAGAGAGGTTTATTAATATCTGATGCACATGCACCATGACAGACACCACGTTATCCGAGGTATTTTGCTGCAGCCATTACATGGGAGGGGTTAGGAAGGAAAAGTCCTGCAAGTCAATGAATCCCACAGGACTCCCTCCAAGGTCCCTGCCCAGAAATATATATTCCTGCAAATCCTTTTCCTGTATGTTGAGTATTAAGCCTTAACAAAATCAAAACATGAATTAAGCAACTGAAAGTGAGGGAAGCAAAAGAAGAAGCCTCAGTCCAGAAAGTCCACTTAGCTCTTGCCAATTGATTCTTTAAGAGCTCCCGGAAGAGGAGTCATTTTCACAGCCCTAACAGCAGCTCCATGAAAGCAAGCAGCTGCTCAAATGTAGGAAGAGAACTACAGGAGGAAGAGACTACCTACAAATGTGCTGAAGAGCTTGAATATTTTGACAATTTGCAGCCTCTTCATTTGGGAACCGTTACTAATGCGTACCTCAACATCCACACAGACACACACGGCAAGAGCCTAACCTGGGGGAGTGCAGGCATCAGCTGGAGACTGAACAAAGGTAGACCGTCTTTTGGTTGGCATGGGCAGGGCCATCTTCTGCTCTTTGTGTTTTGCCAGTGCTGCTTGAACCGCTTCTGTGTGGATATCTGCAAAAATGGAAGTTCACACACTCGGTTTTGCAACAGTAGAGGAGGAAGAAAAACACACAAGGCTTACACATGTGCAACTATTGCCAGTCATCTGTATTTATGCAACTCTCCATTTTGCAGTACCTTCCTAAACAACTACATTTTGCCACCTCATGAGTAACATTTCCTTTTTTTTCTTAAAAAAAAGAAAAAACAACCCCAAAAAAAAACCCAAGGAAACTAACTGAGGTTTCTAAAGTTAGCAAGTTAATAGCAGAGTCAGGTTTTTTTAGTCTAGAATCTTCTGGGTAAATCATTATATTCTTGTGTCTCTAGCAACTTTTACAGAAACCCCAACCCCACCAGATTGTTTCCCTCAAACAAAGATTATCCTAAAATATGCTTGTGCATAATTTCAAATATGCACATAAGCTAAAAGTGCATCCAGCCCCAGGTGCAACTCTAGTCTATAAACTGACAAATTTCTGAGCCAGTTGTCTGATTTAGGAAAAACCTTATGTTCCAAAACCTGAAAGGATGCAGATCTCATGTAAATCTTGAAAGTTACTAACTGCAGTTGTAAATACATGCTGATTAGTAACTGAAACAGGCTAGGACATGAGGCTTCCATCCCTCTGCAAACATCCAGAACTCTTTAAAGGAAAAAAAACATCACTGATGATGAGAAGACAATTTATTAAGAAACTACTATGACAAGGGAGAGCTCATCTACATTAATTTCTCAGATTAATGTATTTTAATGATGCTTTTCCAAAAACCAGAAAATTAAGCTCTTCTAATGCTGTATGAAATGGTGGTATGTGATAGCAGTGTTACTGGAGAAGGTCTATTTGATATACTTTATTTGCCCCTATTGAGAAGAAAACTTAAATCTTGTTACTGGAAAGTGAAAAACAAAACCAGCTGCAGAGAAAAAATAGGTGCTGCCACCTTCTCCTTCCCTTATGGGGAGAAGGAAATCAGCAGGGTGCTAGTCAGCCATTTCTGTTCCTCTTTGGAAGTACTTTAAGAACCGATGGAGAAAGCCAGCTCTCATTTTTCCAAGCTCCTAGAGCAGATATGCACCAGCAATCACCAAATCTCAGAACAAATTACCTGTTACTTCACTGAATCTGGTTACCTACAGACATGGTCAAAATAAGCTTTCCATTCTGAGAATGACTTGCATTGAATAGTTGCATTCAAGCCAGCAAATCAAGGTGGCAAAAAGTTACTTGCTTTTTATACTCAGCTGCAGTCCTACAAGTCTGATGTTTCAGTAAACAGAAACACCAAGGTAGGACTTCTACCAGTGGACAAATAATAAGCTTGATTCCTTGAGAGGACATGGTACATTATTCCTCATTAACAGGAATTTCAGGTGAACTCTTGCCCCTGGCCTTACCAGATCGATAGCGCTCATCTCTGGCTCCCCCTGAGCGAGCTCGGTGAAATTTGGATGAGGAGGAGGATGATGATGATGATGCTGAGGCTGGAGTTGCAGATGGAACAGGCATCTGAGTTCTGGATTCCTTCTGTAATGCTGGATCAACCCCTGGAAAACAGTCCACAATTCTCTGAGAATAGGAAATTAAAGCAGCTTTTTTGATGATACTTTTCTCTTTTACCATATAATTACAGGATTTCCCTCTCCCCCCCTTTTTTTGTAGTGAAGTGGATCTAATTAGTATATTAGTACATCTGTCCAATTATACCTTAATCAGTTAAGATATACCTGTCCCTTCTTTGACCTTACTCTGAAGAGTTTTTTCCAGCTTTTTTCTAAGGGGTTGTTAGGTACTTGAAGTAAGAGACAATTGACAGCAAATCCAAAGTAGGTGACACAATACAAAGTTTCACATAATTAAAGTAACCTATCAGTGATAGAGGGAGATGAAGTCACCTCTAAAGAATCCATTACAAAATACAAAAGCAAAGGTGATAAGATTCAGTTAAGTCTTGATAAATGACACAGTAGATAAGGCAGGTAAATCCTACACCTCCAAACACATAACAGGGCCAGTTGCAATGAACTTCAGTGTTCTGTGATTTAGAGTCTGTATGGTTTGTTCCCTGATTTGCCATGTTTCCAGTGAGAACAGGACTGCACCACACTCTCACTATTGCATTAAAATGGAAAAGAATTAGCAGTTTAACTTGTGGTAAAGCGATCTATGCAAACTGCTTTTAGAGATCACAGTCATTTACATCAGCCTCCTTGTAGACACCACTACTATGGGCACACAGAGCAAAGGGGTTTGATGCATTAAGTCATTATCCCAAATTAAGTTTCAGTTGTGAAGAAGAGCAAACCCACAGAAAAATATGCTGAGAAGCTGGGTTTATTACTCAGTGTTCCACTGACCAGTGTGTGTTATTGACAGGAAAACCAGTAATATATCAGCAGCAAGAGCCTCTGCTGTTCACATTAATTCCAAAAGCAAACAGACCTCTTGCTGTCCAGGCTCTGACTCAAGAAGTGAGTGGCTTTATCATCATGGAAAAGTTTGTTTTGCCCATGAATACAAGGAGCTAAATAGATAATCTGGTAAGAAATTATCATTTTAACCTCGTTCAGCAAGGGACACTAGGAATTGTTGCTATGGGAGTTTCAATTCTAAAATGAATCTGTGCATCAGTGGGAACTTTTTAAAAACTAAGAACAACAGGTCACAGAGCTGTAATTACCTTCAGGTTGTCACCTGAAGTCATGCAAAAAGAAGAGCAATCGTATCATCTAAATCTGTGCCACTTATGAATTCTCACAAACTACCAAAGGATTAGAGAAACGAAGAGGAAACCACAAATCCTGGACTCCAATTCCAGTTATACCACTTTCTTAGTGTGTGGTTTTAGGTAAACAACTTAAGGCAAGCGCCTCAAGCTCAGGGAACTTACAATACCAGCAAATCACACCTAACTAGTTGCAGAAATCTTCAGCCATCTCCTATACCTTCCAACATCCTAAAGAGCAAAATATTAATTGAATGTTACAGCAATTAACTATCCACTCAGCCCAGCATTATATGCTTTGGAAAAAATTCAAGAATCCAGGGACACCGTGCTCCTGGAAGATGTTCTCTCTTAACCCCAAGCGTTACTATTTGGTCTGGGAGACTTTCCAAAACTTTTCATCTCTTACTCAAATTTTTAGTAGTTCCATTTGCAATATCAACATTCAATGGATGCAAGTTACCAGGTTTATGTATTAATGATTCTTTCAACTATCATGCCAAAAAATTAGAACCTTTATTTCTAATTAAAAAGAACACATCCTGCTACTCAGAAATTCACAAACCATATTAGGGAGACAAACAACTATTCCTCATTTTCACTGGTATTTTTTGGATGTCATAACATATAACACAGAGTTCTCTATTCACTCATCAAAACATAACCATCACCTGTACAAAGACACCAGCAGCACAAAAGTAGAATGGAAAAGAGAATTCTGTGTTTTCTGTGGTTTAGGTGCAGGATCTGCTAATGAGAAGAGCTGGACTTCAGAGCAAGATTTTCAATTCAAAAATCTCAGTTTACTCACAGAATCAGTGTTTGTGTCACCTTCCTGTCATTCTGGAACACATTTCACTGATAATTACTTTAACATCTTCGTAACATATATTTTCCTTCATCAAAAATGAGAGTGTTTTATTTTGATCCAAAGACAAGACAACTTCACAGGCTGAGAAGAAAAGCTTCATGCTTTCTGATCATTTGAGTATTTACAGATTCAAGTACCCACTAGATGTCAGCAGCAGATTTAACACTATTTTAAATGAATTATTAAATTGATATTCAGTTCTCTCTTCTAAGTCTTGCAAAAGCATCTCATCTGCTCTGCAGGGCATCACAAGGCAAACATGACATTCCATTTACAAAGGGATCAAACGTGTCTGGAAGTGACATGACACACCAAGAGCAAGCTCTTTGTTTAAATATTTGGCAATGACATAATAACATGTTACAGTCTCCTAACATTCAAGCACAGATGAGGGGAAAAAAAGTGTATAGCTACAGTAAATCACAAATGGTTATACAACAAAGCAACCTAAGTGAGCTCAGTCTGGCAGGTGACTTATTTAGCATTGCCTTTAGAATAATCCTGCTACAGCTGCAGTTTCTGCTGGCAGGATCCAAATCTACAGAGACACGAGAAAGAAATTATTTCAGATTCACTTCTGAAGGACGGTATAGATTGTTTAATTGTCCTTAGTTCTTAACCAGAATTGACTGCTCTGTGATCCCTGCATTTTGTTGAAGGAAAAGGTTCAATAAGATTCAGAGATTTCTTTTCATTAAAAGATTTTTAGATTAAAAGAATCATTATAAGCATCATTTATGATCAACGAGGAGAAGTATTTACATTAATAACAAGGACAGTAAGTGCTAGATTCATCTGACAGAAGAAAAGCAGCAAGCAAACCTGTTATTCTGTATGTTTTGCATACAGAATTGAACAGAAGTGCTAGTGCTGGACTAGCAATTCCTTGTGACAAGATGATTTTCTGAAGCTACACGCCTGTAGAAATCGTGTAAATAACAAACACAAGTTTCTAGAGTTTACATGTCAGCCTGAGCAGCACCTCCAGAGCGTAGGGGACAGGCTGGCTCAGCAGCAGGCACGGCTGCACACGCTTGGTGTGATTGCTGCTGCCTTCCAGCACTGAGAACTCACCAGATTGAGGAGATTCAGAGACTTTAGCAGGAGTTACTAGCTAGATGGATCTTAATGCTGCCCTGTACAAGACACGAAGGAAGAATTCACATGCTCCACTGATTTAGTTCTGGATATTATTTCAAAGATGGATACATTTATTTCCCAGAGACAAGTGCTAAGCTTTATTTGCAGTTGTTATACCCCTCAGACTGAATAAGGAAGAAAATAATTCCCCATTTGTGGAAGCTGCAAGTCAGATCTTCTAAAGGGGTGAAACTCTCAACCACACTAAGCTGGAGCACGTGTGCATGATTTACAGGGTGAGACAAAGCTGTTTTATCACTGTTACTATTTCACATTAGCTTCCATTTGAAATAATATGATGCTGAAAGACAGCAGGGGGGAATAAAGAGAAAAAGAGTAGAGTTCTGCTGGCTTATTGGCAGGCCACAACACACAGGGTGGCAGGAAGGACTCTTCTGAGACAGGAAATACATGACAGCCCACTTGGGAAGCAAAGAAGAAACACTTCTTTTCCAAAGTGCCATGATTTCAAAGAAATGAAGCACTAAAGGAACAGAATCCATAATGTTCCCACTTTGTGCTATCCATTAATAACACGAAGCAGAAAAACCAACAAGACATACATTAACAGTTAAAATTCACACTGAGCTTCAAATGTTCTCAGTCTCAACAGGTTTACAAGCATATTACTGCTGTCTTCCAACCCTCTTCTCTGAGGTACTGGAACACAAAAAACACCAGATCACATTCATCTTACCTTTTCAATAAAAGCAGTGAGTACTCCAACATTCTCTTTGCTTGATTAAAATTTTTATTTTTATTTTTTTTTCATCATCATGAGAATAGAAAACAGGAGCAAGAGCACTCTAGAAGTTACATAAAAAGGTTCTGACAGTGAAACAGTGCTTAATGAATATAATTTCCTTTACACATTAGCAGAGGAACCAAATGCATTATCTTAAATAGCAAGAAAACGTAGTCTGCCAACAGTCTGTGTGCAAGGGCTGCTAATTTTGGCAGAAGACATTCCTGTGTCTGCATTGTTTGAGCTAAAAAGTTGGAAATGCTTTTCCAGATTTGCAGCAACTAAGATGGACGGGAGCTCTACACAGAAACCTGCCTGTAGTCTGCAGCAAAAACTAGTTGCAAGAGGTGGTGAGTTAGAATCATAGACTGGTTTGGGCTGGAAGGGACCTTAAAGATCATCCAGTCCCAACCCCCCTGCCAGCAGCAGGGACACCTTCCACTAGACCAGGTTGCTCAAAGCCTCATCCAACCTGGCCTTAAACACTTCCAGGGAGGGGGCATCTACAACTTCCTTGGGCAACCTGTTCCAGTGTCTGACCACCCTCACAGTGAAGAACTTCTTCCTAATATCTCATCTAAACCTCCCCTCTTTCAGTTTAAACCCATTTCCCCTTGTTTTGTCATTAACTGCCCTTAGGAAAAGTCCTTCCCCAGCTTTCTTGTAGCCCCTTCAGGTATTGGAAGGCAGCTATAAGATCTCCCCAGTTGCTGCACCAGCTCTTAGTAGCAGAGCAGTTCATCTGTCCATTCAAAAAGGGTTTTGCAAAATAGCAAAAAAAATTTAAAAAATAAATAGTATTGGATTGTATCTTTTAAAATAGGCATAAAAATATTTGGTTCTCACAAATGACTCTGAGGGTGATGTGAAAACGTCAGTGTTATTCCAACAAAAGCAACATCTCAAAGCACTGAGACCCCAGTCTGTTTCAGAAGGCAACTCAGGGTTTAGCTTGAGTTATCCACATTCAGAAAGACACCAAGGAGGAGGTGACAGCAGGGCGGCCTTTCTCTATTTTGGCAGGTGGTCAGGCAGCAGTGCAACAAGAAAGAAGCGTTCCTGCCCTCCCTGTTTTGGTTTGGGCAACAGTGAAATCAGCAGCATTACTTAACATGCACAACCTGCTCAAAACATTTTCCTTCAGAGCCTTTTTGTGCAGCAGCCAGCACCTAAGAGAGGAGCATCAACTCTGGGTATCACAGCTCCACCACCTCAGTAAGTTCCACTGACAAAAAATGGATGTTGCAGCAGGAAAACATGTATCTTTAGGTAATTAACATTGTTGTCTTAACTCTAAAGTAATGAAGCAAGCTCCCAGAGGCAATGTGAAGGGAGCACAGATTTAGCAGCAAGAATCTCCCAAATGATAGTGCTGACAGGCCCTGACATGTCATCACACCTTCGTCTCACTTCACATCTCTGAAGTGGAGACAATACATTAGCTCACATCTGAGGAAGGTGCTTTGAGAAACACGATGCACTGAGTGCCAGGAGGAAATATTTTTTGTTGTTGTTGCTGTGGACTAAATTAATTTTCTGCTCATTAACAAGGTCACCTGATTGTGAATCCCTCACGCATGACTTCAACAGGATTTTTACAACGGGAGACTCCCAGATACAGGGGCAGCTGGATATAGAGAGATATATAAAAAGCTGGAGGGCTGAGCCAGAACGGTAGTCAAAATGCTATCTTAATTGGTGACCTCCCATCAGCCTGTGTCTCTTCCTGAACTTCAGCTCATTCTGCAGCTTTCAAAAGAGCAACAATTAAAATATCAGGGCCACAGACAGTCTTGCCAAACACTTTTTTTTTTTTTCCTCTCCTAATTAAACAACATTTTTCTGAAGCAAACCAAACGTGCGTGCACAGTGACAGGCGTGAGGGCCGCAAGATCACGTCGTCAGATGAAAAGCAACTTGTAGAGTTTCAGCTTCCACCAGACTTCTGGACAAAAGCAAGTCTGCCAAGAAAGCACTTGAACATACAAAGGGAGCCCATGTTTCCTTCTAAGGCTCAAGATCTCCACCGGTATACACCCTGGACTGAGAGATGGCAGAACCTGCTTAACAAATATCTACTTATAAAGACTATACAGAGGGGTTAGTCATGAGTATTGCTTTTTGGTTTCTTTAAATAACAGAAAGAGATTTGATACAAAGGTAGCAACTGAGTCTTCAGAGATTCCTATCCCATCCGGGTTCAGGGAGGCAGTTCTCAGCACTCAGAGAGCTGTTTGTAACAAGATCTCAAATTTGAAGGCTAAAAACCAAGCTTTGCTTGCCTTGCTGCCTCCAGTGTGTTAGCTCAGAATACACTGTTCCTTCCTGTACAAAGCATCCACTGTGGCAGTTAAGTTTTGGACAAGAGGAAGGGTACCAGCTTTTGTTGAATACACAAGCAAAACAAAATTGAGAAACAATTTTGGGATGGAGGAGAGCAGGAACAAAACCATCAAGTGTTTTGGAGTGGCAGAGTCTAGAAGTTATCACAGGACAGTGGCAGAGTCCTTTCATGTTCCTTAAGCAATTGCCTGAAGTGAACTGCTGTAATCTCAGCAGAAAAAAACCCTCTACAATCTTTCCCCAACGGATGCAATGTTGATGGTCAATAAATGGACTTTTAGCCTTTACTCTTTTGGTATTATTATTATTTTTTGGCAGTAATTCAGTCTCAGTAAATTCCAGTAAGTCCAGTCATGGCTGCCTGTCATCCCCATTCACTCCCCTAACTGCTACGAGCCAGACACATTAGTTTTTAATGGTGAAGCATCTCAGCATATCAGTAGCACAATTATTTTGGGTAAGCATGCCCGTAATAATTATTAGGCATACTTTCAGCCATGTCCTTCAGTTTACAATTATCTATAATTATCCTACATATAATCAGCTCTACTGCTAAGGATCTCTAAACCAAAGAACCAGCACATGAATTCAGCTACTCTGGTAAAATACACCAACAAATTATGAAAATTCTAATGTTTCTCCAACAAGGAATTCAGATGGCTGAAAGGACACAGTACAGACCAACTCTGCAGTTAAACCATTTTTAAGAAGGTTTCAAGAATGGTTCTTGAGGACCTCACACTTCATGATTGATTCAAAGCCCTCGAGTTCTTTGCTAACAAGGGAGTAGGATGTGATTTATGTATGTGGGAGATAAAAGAACAGGGCATACAAAGTGTTGAAATACACAGCACTCTACAGAGACCCACCAAACTGCTCTGGAACTACCAGGAATCCCTGGAGTTCAGGATGAAGTGAACCAGATGCAAAATAGTGCCCATGACTTCATGGCATCCATGCAACCTCCACAGTGTGATTCTTAGATAAGGAGACACGTATGAAGCAGAACAGTTCAGAGCTGGGAAATGCAATCTCAGTGCTCCACTCCACAGATCTCTAATGTCAAGGCCATGCAAAACCCTCAGAACAGCTCAAACAAGCACCTACCTTGGGTTTGTGGAACATACGGAGCCAGAAGCTTTGCTCTCTTCTTCTCATACCCCTTTTGTGTGATGTCCCCTAAAACCAAGGAAAGGAAACTCATTTAACCATGTCCTCATTTTTCAGTCTGAGATCTATTTGCTTTTCTTTTCTGTGATATGAAGGTTTCACCTGAACACAGCAATGCACATGCTGGAAAAAAAGCTGAAAACAAATATATGCAAGTACATTATGATTTCAAAGCCTCCATATTACAGGACTGCTGGAGTTTCCCTTGGGATCAGAGATATACACTATTTAAATGCAATAATTTGAATCAGAACAGCTATCTAAATGGAATATCAAAGCAATGAAAACCTATGAAAGGGAAACTCAGAGTACATGAAAATGTTCTGTAACCACAAAGCCAGCTTAGGCGAACAAAATGGAATAATTCCCAAACAACAGGGCAAAGGGAAAGTGCAAATTCATCTTCAACTAATCAAATCGAGAACAGCTTTTAGCAAATAAAGTGAGCCCACTCCAGGAGCTGTTTAGGGCACCCCTGAAAATCGAGGCAAGGATGAACAGAGTCAACTTTTAGATTCCTGCCCAGCAAGCACACCCTATGATCAGAAAATCAGACTTTTAATCAAGTCTGTCTGATCTTCAGTGAAAGCAAGTTAGGGGGTTGTGGTTTTTTTAACCTGGTAGTAGCTGTAATTCCACTGTTTGCCTCCTGGTAGAAGTTTGCAGAAGATAGATGCTCGAGTTCCACAGAAGCAAAAACTCCAGAAGAGACCTAAGTATTAGTAAACTTTTCCCTTTTTAAAAAACCTAATCTGTCTGATCCGGGAGATGGACCATCTGGCTTCTGGTTTGTTTTTTGTTTTGTTTTTTTTGTTTTAATTTCTCACATTACATCAGAACCACAAGAAAGACTGAAACCTTGAAGGGATTTAAACAAAAAGCCCTGCAGCATTTCAAGCCTTTTGTAGCCTGACCTGCACTTGTAACCTCTTTATCTCTTGGGGCTGAAAGATTTGAAGCGATCAAACAAATAGCAATAAGAAAACAGAATTATTTGGTATTACTTCTCAAGTTAAAATTTGTATTTACAACAAGAAACTAGTCATTGCAAAAGGTGTGTTTTCTTTGCTGGGAGCCCAATTACTGCAGGGACACGGAGTATTAGCAGAGGCCACTGGATCTGCTGCCTCACAGCATCCTTCTGCCAGACACTTCCAGCCTGATCTGCAGGACCACATCAGAAAAGGTGATTAAAGGGTTTAAGCTCTAAGCCTCCCAACACAACCAGCCTCTCTGCTAAAACATTCCATTTCCAAACTGGCCATTTGGGTTATAAAGGTGATTTTGCAGCACTGCAATGCTTGGAAAGGGGATGAATCACAGAATCACAGAATATTAGGGATTGGAAGGGACCTCAAAAGATCATCCAGTCCAATCCCCCTGCCAGAGCAGGAACCTCAATGAGATCACACAGGAAGGCGTCCAGGTGGGTTTTGAATGTCTCCAGAGAAGGAGACTCCACACCCTCCCTGGGCAGCCTGTCCCAGGGCTCTGGCACCCTCACTGGAAAGAAGTTTCTTCTCAAGTTGAAGCAGAACCTCCTGTGTTCCAGCTCACCCCCATTGCCCCTTGTCCTACCATTGGGCATCACTGAGAAGAGCCTGGCTCCATCCTCCTGACATTCACCTTTACATATTGATAAACATTAATGAGGTCACCCCTCAGTCTCCTCTTCTCCAAGCTAAAGAGCCCCAGCTCCCTCAGCCTTTCCTCAGCAGGGAGATGCTCCACTCCCTTCATCATCTTGGTGGCTCTGTGCTGGACTCTCTCCAGCAGTTCCCTGTCCTAACAGGAACTTTATTCCTTTGTGCTCAACAATGAAACATCAGCATCACTTGGAATGCCCAGGCTGAGTCTGGAAGCTGAAACGGGCAGGCACACCGCTTAGCGGAGGGTATGCATTTGCACACAACATTTTATCTCACTCCTCTAACATGATGTTTGAGTCAGGCCCCAACAAGTCCAAACACATCGAGCAACTGAAAATTAGAATGTCCATGAAGCACTGAAATGCCAAGCAAAGCATTAATTTTAATGCTTGACTGCAATACATAGCTCAGTGAAATTAATCCAGCTCACAGGAAAGGTATGCTGCCAGCCTAAGAAAAATACACCTTCCAGAAAGAGCTGCACAAAGAACACACGCCAACAGGAGAATGTTTTCATCGACTGCACGAGCTACAAAAATCCACCAGCTTTTCTGAGCTTTGCCTCTCCATTTTCAGAGGCAGCTTTAATTCCCCACATTTGGGTAACAAATAGAGCAGGGGGACTTGCAGCTTCAGGAAAAACAAACCTGCACGGAAAGGGGGAAAGCTTTTTCCTTATAAGCCAACCCACAGATTTGTTTGTAGCTCGTTATTTTATGATTAATTTCTCCACAAGATTTAATTGGACTCTTGGCATTGGTGGTTACACACTATATATAATGAAACATTTGCCACAGAAAATTGTTGGAATTAATAAGGAATACCAGTACCTTACAGACAAAGAGCAGCACACTCAATTTAAGTACTAGTAGCATCACATTCTGTTTTACCTACTGGGAAGCAAAGAATTCTCTCCAGTCACTTGCTCCACACTAATATCCTACCAATGAAACAAACTTATCCTCACAGGAATACAAGCACTATGGTTCACAGATTTGCATTTGGAAATTTGAAGTTGAGGTGAGATATTACTGAAAAAACAAGAAGGTAACTCAGGCCAAAACAATATTTGCAACTTTAACTACCATGCGATGCAGATAATTTACATTATTGCTTGAAAAAAAAAAAAGGATTCTCTGAACGTAGGCTAATAAAAAAATAAAAAGCCTAATGCTATTTGGCAAGAACAGGAAAGTTCCAACTAGTAAAATTCAAGCAACAGAAATAAGGGTGATAAATTCCTGGGACTTCCCTGCAGCACTCTGTATTCCCACTGCTGAATCTCCAGGTAGAGTTTGCTTTTTTTAAAAATAAATAAATTTAAAAAAAAAATCAATCATTATTTTGACAAACAGGTTGACAGTCTCAAGAACCTGCCTGCAGGATTAGACAGTGTAATGCTTAAATTTTTAGACTAGCCCTACTGAAGTGAACCAGCAGTAGGGACTGAAAAGGTCAGAAGAAACAGATAAATCGGAGTTCTCTATAGAATAACCATCCATGCAGGTTAGAAACAGAATACAATTAACTGAAATAAAGCTCCAGCAAGACACAGGGACTACGGCTCTCAGAAATAAAACCTTGTGTGGAGTAGGCTTGGGTGACATGTGTAAAGTCACCTCAACACAATTATGATCCCATTACCACAACCACAATAGTTATTCCCAAACTGACATCTCAAGTCTTGGAAGCAAGTGGATCTCTAACAGGCTGCACAAGTGGAATGAAGTTATTGTATAAAACCTCTTCTCATCTGGTCTCAATCCACTGAGCCAGAAACCAAAGATTCACTAAGAGAGAAACTTTCTGTCAGCCATTCCTTTTCTGCTGATCTACAGGAAATGGAAATGGTTATATCTGAACAGAAATGCAGACTTCCTCACCAAATATCAGAAGTTCCAGCAACAGGAAGAGAACCAAGACAATAGGACTGCAATCTCAAGAACCATTCACTCCTGCTACATCAACCTGGTAAATCATCCATAAATTCAACACTTTGTGACATTTGGTGTGTTAAATTCTTCCAGTTAGCTGAAAAAAACCCAACCCAAGAACCACAACCCCTCTCTCCACAGATGCAAGACCCAGCACTACAAAGAAAGCATTAGCAAAGCAAATGAGAGCTGACAATTTAGCTTGAAAATGGTGCTAGTGTTTGTTCATTCCTAGGAAAGAAATGACAAACAACAAAAACACTTACTGCTGAGACATTCTTTTGGCCTTCTCCCAGCTACAACTGTTTCTGTTCAGTTGTAGTCTATATTTATCTATATCCTAAGCCACGGTTGTGCCTCCACATGCTGAGGGGGCCCTGCTAAGGAAATGGGGTTCTTGGCAAGAGGAAACAAAGCTTCAGTTTCTTTTCAGCCAAGACCCTTTCACTATAAACAACCGTAAGATTCTTGTACGTGGTGATGTTTCCTGGAGTCTCAAGATGGGATGTCAGGAATTTTTAGGTTTTGGGGGTTTGTTGGTTTTGTTGTTTTCTGTTTTGTTTGGTTTTTTTTTTCCCCTTGACACCTCTGCTCAAGTGCAGGGATGTCTTCACCTTCCCCAGAAAACCAGTATATTAGAACAGACTGAAGTGTAAATACAGCCCATCACCACCACAGTCCAGTTCATCAGCTCCACACACTACTTTCCTCACTATTCCACCCAAACTCATACCTTTTCCATCTCCATTGCAAAGCTCTGCTACCACCTGCACTGCTCACAAAGGTTAACTCGTCTCAATACATGAGAATTTTTCTCCTGCAGAGCCACCAGCTCAGTTTTCCTGCTCATTTGCAGAGAATGTGATGGACCAGCCCCAGCCACCTTCACAGAACAGGTTCTCTGGCAGGAGCCTGCCACTGGTATTGCATCGCTTCAGTAATTCATCATCTCACTACTTATCACAATTGGGTTCCACTCTTTCAACCCTCTCCTCCCCCAATTTCATCTTTTCTCTCTTCTGACAGTTTTAAAAGAAGAATTTAAAGAAATCCTACTTTTCAAGACACTGCAGGTCTTCCAAATACACAAGAGATGCCCTTCTGTGGATTCAGAGTAGGAAATATCCCTAGATTTATGGTTTGCAGAAACAAGACAAGTTCAATCAAGAAGCAATGATTTTTCCTCACTTGGAATGCCTGGACAATAATCCTGTGATGAAATCCAAGAGGCCCTGCTTGTTTGTGATTAAACAAGTGCACATTTGAGAAGCAGAATTCCCTAGAAAAATGCAAAAAATAGATTCTGAGATTCCTTTTTTCATACGATTCTCCTAATTTCTTGAGAGGAAATTAGAATTGATCCTCATCACGCAAAGCCAATCTGGATGTTCTGACCACGGGGAGCGCAAGAAAGAGAAAAG